GTGTGTGTGTGTGTGTGTGTGTGTGTGTGTGTGTCCACAGCGAGGCAGTTTACACATCCACACTGGGTTATATAAGCCAGCTGAGGCTCACTGAAGCGCCAGTGGGTTTTTAGATCATGCCGTGCCGGAGCTCCCATCATCCACTGCTCTACTGGGCGCCAAGCAGCTGAGAGAGAAGAAAGAGGAGAAGAAAAACGCCTCGTTATGCAAGCAGCTATAGCTAAAACCCAAAGAGCAGGAGAGCTGGCTCTGATCTCTGCAGACATGACTTTAATAATCTGTGGTTTCTGTAAACAGTGTACCATCGTAACATGACGATTCTGACACAAATCAAGGAAATTAAAAAGATTTTTTTTTAAATAATCTCCTTTCTGGTTCATCAGATGAGTCCAGTCACCTCTTCAGAAGAAAAATTGAGCAGATGATAAAAACCTTTCACTAAAACCCTTTTTTGTTGCATAACGTAGAAGAAAAATATCCAGCAGCCATAACATTTATGTTTATTTTACCTTTTCATGTTTTGCACAAAAACTGAAAATCAGGATCTGACTGCAGCAAAAGTTTTGTGCTTCTATTATAAGAACAGAATCAATAGTTTTAATTTCAAATAATCAAATGAATTTGGTTGTTTCCTTGAGTTACATTTGAATTGACCTTCTAATAAATGTAAATTCTGTCAAAACCCCACAAATTATAGAAAAAGAAACTCGTTTTTTCTTTAGAAATAAATATTTTTGATTAAGAAGACAAGAAGAGTTTGTCAAATTAGCTTGAACCGAAGCTAAAATTATAAAATGAGTTCAGTTCTTCGTTATTTTTTGTGACTCTCTGCTGTTTTTGTCACTAAATATAAAAAGTTGTGCCACATTGGGTGTCAGAAGGTCAGGTTTTGGTGTTGCACAAAACAGTTTTTGTGCCCAACTCAATTTATTTTTGTTTTTGTTATTTTTTTCACATTTTCTTTTCCTCCTGGCAACACTGCAGCAACATTTCCAACCACTTCAGGCACATTAGCTTGCTTCACATCAAAAGCCACTTTGTTCTCACCCATCAGCCCACTGTAATCCCTCCGTCCCCCCACTGTGTCCCACTTTCAAACACAGACTGACATCATGAGCATACACTAGATTTTAAGTATTAATGTTGGTTTGGCTGCTCAGAATCCAAAATATTAACTCTGTTATTTTGACATAAATAGTTTAATTTGAGCAGAAAATGATCTGAACTAAACAGAACATCTGTTTGTCTTTAAAATGTAAGTTTTTAATTATGTTTTAAGTGGAATGAAAAGTCATTAATCAGCTTTAAAAATATGATTATGAATTAATCTTGTTTGCTAAAATCTTCTTTTGTTTGCACTCAAAACATCTATAATAAAACTCATAAGATCTTTATTTTCTGTGGAGTTGCTGCTTTATATTTTCTTATTAGAAGATTAAAGTGCCTGTGGCATCAAATTTTTGTAATAAATATAAATGCATTTTTGGAAAGATAACATTGATAACATATTGTAAAAAAAAAGATTTCATGCAGCTGATGTGACATA